AATACTCTAGAGCAGAAGTTATATGCATTATTTCTTACGAGGCTCTTTATTATCCCTTTATTTGTGCTCAGTTTTTCGCTCTGTTCTTCTACTATAATATTTTAGCCGGAGCTCAAATGAAAGAAATTTACAAAGGCATCTGCGACACCATTAATTTTACACAGCATGAATCAACGAGATTCGATAAACAAAAATTTGAAAAGAATATTGGAAGACTTTGCATTTTTTGTCGGAATTCTCAGACTAGTCTACAACGAGTAGTTTGGTTTTTGTGCGCTGAATTAACTGATATACACTAAATCAGAAACACAGCTGCTGCTTTCTAAGTTCTCCAATAATCATTTTTTGGAACTATGCCTCGCTGAAAATAAAGTGTAGAACGAATATTTAACCATGCTTCAACAACATCTAAGCATAATTGGAACCAGAAAAGAGTACACTTGTTCTTGCCCCATGCTTTTTCTCAGTTTTTTTATTAGCAAACAGCTTGTAGTTTCTGGTGCTTTTTTTTGGTTTTCTCTACCACCCCAACCTTGAAAAAAAAAAACAGATAAATAAGTAAATAAAAATTAGGAATGAAAAAAAATAGGAAAAGAAGTACTTTGAGTTGTTGCAGAGTAGGGAAAAAATTTATAAATATAGAAGTAATGTTGCACTGCCGGAGACTCTTAGCCTATTAGGAATCCTTTATTAGAGCCGCAGTAATGACCTTACAGCGCAGTTAAGGCCACCAAGCACTGTTATTAATAGTGGTCACTGCTAATAAAGAAACAGGAGTTTATTCCATGAAAACGTTTCTGGTAAGGTACAGGTGGTATAAAAGAATTAATTATATTAGTAGAGAAATAAAGCAGAAGAACTCTTTTAGTCGGAAAGACGGAAGTGAAAAATAGGCTAAACAAAAAAGAGCTGCTTTTGCTACAGATAATCTCATTCGTAAATTCACGTTCGTTATTGTGAAGAAATCTCAGTCCGCTGCAGAATTAAACCTCAAAGAAAAGTTTTTTAGCTACATTTAGGTTTACTTAACGTTAATTTACTCCATATTATGTTCTTATCAAAATTCAAATGATTTTCCATATCTCAAAACCAAACAGTTTCAGAAACTCAATGTTCTTCTAAATTTTTACAGTAGTAGCCCGCAACTAAAAACACTCCTCTATTTTCTACTCGGAAGTGGCTTTTTTTGAATTATCATAGTACTGCCTGTACTGCAGAATGCCTCACAAACGCTGATCATTAAAAAAGGTAACACTTGTTTACACTATTATTTGCAGCACTACCTTGTCTAACCTTTCCAAATTTGGCTGGAAAATTCTGCTTTTCAAGAAAGCAGCTATTAAAGAATTCGCTTTCGTAATGGTAACTAAGCTAGTTATTCATCTTATTTTGCATTAAACGTACACATATGTATGTTTAACACAAAATGAACAACTAAGCTTTACAAGCCAACTTCATAAACTTATTATTATGACAATGTACAGACTTTTGATTTTTTGACTAAGGAAATCTTACTGCGTTTCGAGACGCGCTCCTACTTCTTACTTTGTCCGTTTGTAAAGTTATATTTAGCTATTAATCATGAGACACCCAAATTTGGTTCAGCAATATCTCTAAATCTGCATAAAGTTTTTCAACTTTCCTCTCCAGAATTGTAGAATTTTAAACGTCTGATAGCCTGTTTACAACTTCTTCTTCGTAGCGGTAACAACTTTTCAGAGTTGTAAGTATGACAAAACCGTTCTTCTCTGTTCGTTTAAATAAAAATACCCTTCTTTTAGCCTTTTTTTTTAAAGACTTCTATTAAGCACAGTATTTTCTAGATGCCTATATGCTGAAAAGTTAAATAAACGATTGTTTCAAATGTCTCTGAAAATTTTAAAGTTGTTCTGATTGAATGTTGGTAAAGGAGGTGGTTGCAAATAAAACTCTGATGTACTGCGTGTCACTTTAGTATTCGGATTATTTTTTGTAAACCTCTGTCAAATTTAAATCAACTTGTCTGATCGCTTTCTAGCTTTTTTAAAGCCTTTCGCACAAAATGATGCTGAAGATTCTGAAGAGATCCTGAAGCACCTACTCTTCACACACAGATGGTTCGCACGCGATATTACTCATATAAGTAAAATAAAATAGCGTCACGACAGAAACATCGTTAAACAAAGACTTCACAAGCAAAAAGCAAGAATCCCTTGAATACTTTTCTTAAATTTCTTAATTTTATTTATTATGGCAATGCTGAAGACGTAGTGTTGTTACTCTTCGACGCCCCGGGATCATTTTTCATTTAGCTGTACAAAGCTTCTAAGCTTCTACTTCTTAGAAGTTGATTTGAATTTGAATTTGATTTGAATTTTCAGCGCCAATAGATTGGACTAATTCAAACCTTTGTTTCTTCTTTAACTGACTATTAATTAGTCATAACTTTCTTTCTGATTGACACTAGCAATAACCTTCTCCTGTTACTCATCCTTTTTTGGTAGATTATTACGCCGTCCGTACAGTACCTGATCTGCAGTTAGAATTTCAGAAAATGAGCGGGCAAAGATGCCGTAGAATTAGGCGCGCTGAATAGTTGTAAACAGCTTCTGTCTGTCTTACAATTAAATTATGATTCTAGACTCAGCTTTGACCTTGCTAAAATGCTCCATTCCACGGACATTTCCAGTGACAATAATAGAAATATGTAACATTTATTCCGCATTTTAATGTAGAATTTAAATTTGTAAATGAAACTAGAAATTTAAGAACAAGCTAGAAACCTCTATATCAGTATAATTGTCTTGAGTTTATTGCTAATACGTTGTTTGGACGATGAGTGCTAAATGTGAAAATTTTAAAAGGTTCTAACAAGCGATAATTTTTTTTTTCAACTAACTGTTAAAACCGACCAAACATTTTTGAAAGATTTCTGAAATTTCAAGAGAAATATTTATGTGGTAAGAATTGAAGTTTGCTGATGTCAGTATGTCTGAAAAAAATTGTATGTAAGCACAACCACTTTTCACTCAGACTTTTTGATATGAATATTTTAGCTGCTATAATAATTCAACAGGCCAGCAAACATACCAAATAGGTAAAAGACAAAAAAAAATAGTTCGAACAATTTTATTGAATTCCGTTTTGCTTCTCAAATATGACTCTTTTCAAAAAATGAATAAATTGAATATACAGAAGAAAAAAGCCCTCAAAATGTGCAACATATGATTGTTTCAGCAACAGCTAAAAACGATGTATTAACAAAATAGTAATAATATTAATATGAATAATCATAGATCAATCGTTCTGAATAGTTTACTAAAAAAAGCACAGAACAACGAAATGAGATCGCAATTATTATAACAATAATTGAAGCAAAATATTCAAAAATTTGTGTTTCTTTTCAACTGTTAATAGCAATGAATTTGTCCAATCAAAAAAACTTAAGATACTCAAGAAAAATTTTTTGCCTGTTTGCAAAAGCTGTATTGTAAAATTCTTCTTTGTAGCATCAGTTAACGGTAATAAAAAATCCTTTTTGTTGAGATACTATTTAAAACATTTTTCAGTGTTTCATTATTTAAGTAGCCTTTTTTTTTTTCCTGCATAGCGACTCATTTTTCCTAACAGTTAATAAGATTTTCTTTTTTTTGACGATTTGTGCTAAATAACCTCAACAAACCAATTGATAAAAAAAAACGATAGTACTTTTATCTTCGTTGACAATATATTTTTGCAGAATAAGATTTTTTTTGTGGAAAGTAAACTCACAGAATGATAATAATAATAATACCAAGAAAGATAACCATTACTTATATTTACAGAATAAGTAAACGTCGACACTTACACCCAGTAATTTGACTAAACTGTCAAAAAAAAAGCACTAACTAACTATGCGGATCGCTAGTCTCTGTTAACAGTAGGACACAGCAGTAAAAAAAAAAAAGTGTTTTCAAGCAAAGTTTCATGCTAATTTTAACAGCATAAACAGTTAAACCTCTTCTTCAATAAACAGTATTGACCATAGAGCCAGTATTTTAAATTATTTCAAATTACTACTGTCATTTAAGCAGCATTTCAAAAGAATCAATCAAAAAATCTATTGATACATTTGGGCAAAAGAAAAGAACAAAGTCGAATTTTTTTATAATAGTAACTAAACTTTGAAATTACATCGAAGATGCTGAATGCTACGGTTAGTAACTGCAATAAAACTGACGTTATTGCTCTACCCAAAATTAAAATAAAGTAACAAACTTATGGTCATTTATGGTTCTGTGAAATCTAATGGAATACTATTGGTACATCTCAGATGACACAGAAAATGTTAATTTTTCCCAATTTAGCGTGCAAAATTTAGAGAGAGAGAAAAAAAAAAGGAAATTAAGTATTGTTAATAAAACAAAGCAGATTAAAAACTTTTGTTAGTCACGTAAAAGTTTTAGGAACAATAGAAAAAAATTTCCTAAGATAAAAAACCTTTTGATTAATTACTAAACAAAAAGTTTTAAAACTTTTTCTTTTGCACGATTCTGCAACTGAAGTTAATAAATAATTACCCAAAACTAATATAGAATTACTTTTTGATGCTTCGTTGACTTTTGGAATACTTCCCAAACTAAAAAAAATTTGTCATTTTTTTCTCTCAATATTTATATCAAATTCTTTAATGCAGTCAAACTTACCTCAACAGTCATCCAGCAATGAACATTCGCAATAATCTTAGTGTCGTTTAATGTCGTTATGCTGTTAGTATTTGGACTATTGGTAATACAGTCTTCTATAGAAAACAGTTAAAAAAAAAAAAACAAAAAAAGCTAGTCCTCTAAAATCAGATGACAGTTCACCGACAGTACCCGCAAAACTAGTTAATAAAAAGTTAAAAACTTAGTAAAGTAAGAGGAAATTTTATAAGTGTAACAGAAGTAAATCTATAATAATTGATAAAAAAGACAACAGTGAATCTGGAAAAAATTTTCAAAGAAAAAAATATAAAAATCAATGAGGATTAATACTTTATGTCATACCGGCAGCCCGTTTTCCAAAGCCACCTGTCGATTATATGCCAATAAAAAACCGAAAACGACTACCAATAAAATCCAACAACTGCCGCATACTGAAACTGCGTGATTAAACTCACGCGGCCTTCTAGCCATCATCCATACATCATCTTCTGATTCTTCTGATTCTGGCTCTGCCTCCGGTTCCAAGTCGACGTTATTCTGAGCATTTAGTTGATTGCGTGAACCAAGCGATGAAGTTTCGCTCAATGTTTCGTAGTGCAGCCGATTGTGGCCGTGATAATTTCCGTAACTTCCATCAGCGTATGCTAAATTTTGTTCCGCAATCTTGCTCCTCTCCAGTTGCTTTCCTCGATCTGGTTCCTTATGAACTTCTTGTTCAGTTACCTTCGAACCGTGAACATTATCTGCAGAATTTTGATCTACCATTACCGGTTCGCCAAAATCGTTTTGACGTTCATCTTCTTCGCTGTCTGCCGGAATAACTTTATCAAAAAGATGTTCACCAGGAATTGACTCTTCCGGTGAACGAATAGTTTCTGGTTCAACATCAAGTTCTTCTTCTTTATCTTCTGTATCTTCGAAATCTCCAAAAAGAATTCCTGAAAAACATTAAAGTTCCAATCGAACATTAATAAATATTTTTTTTAATCAAAAGGAACTTTTAAAAACGCTAATTTTTATTCATAAAACATTTTTATTACCGCAAACACCTCGGACCCATTAAAGTTATAAAACCAAAACCAAAAAAAAAACTGACCTCTGATGAAAGAAGCGGTAATAAACAAGTTTATAAAAGAATTAACTAGGTTTTTATGAAAACAAAAAGAAACAAATTTTGCACTTTTTTTCAAAGACCAATTAGTTTTTGCTAAGATCAAGAACATTACAAAAAAAAAATAAATAAATAACTAAATAAAATCTGTTTAAAAATCGCACTTTGCTTTTGACGTGTAGTCGTTTTTGGATGAATCGCTGCAACAGTCGTTTTCCTTGGCAGCTCTCCTACTGAAAATATAAATGAATTTATTTTTATCATATTGAAATCGAAACTGAAATGTGCAAAATTTATAAGTGCCAAATTTTTCTTATCAACCGTTTAAAAGTATGCAATCTTTAAGCAACTTTTTACAAAAAAAATTCTTTGTTCTAAAATTCGTGAGAGTAAATGCTTAAACCCCATTTAATGCTTACTTTTTAAACTTATTTTATTAAAAAGAACACACGAAGTTTTCACTACTATTTGACAAAGGTTACTAAACATTTTAAAAGCTAGAAAATTCTGGGCAAATACTTTTTGCCAACACTTCTGATATACAGACAAGTCAGGTAATCAAAAATTTTTCTCACCCCGCCTTGCCTCTTATTTGGTAGCCTCCTTACGTAGAACTAAGTTCAGTCTTTTATCAATTGAACAAATAGAAACAGCGGTATCACAGATTTACCAACTGTTAAAAGTAAATCAACCAAAAAAAAAAACAAAAATTCTAAAAGTAGTTTATAAAAATGCTTTAGAAAGTTTTGCGTGATAAAAACAAACGTAAAAGGGTTTCATGAGAAAAGCATGTCACTTAGCATTTTACACTATGTTCAATTTACTTCATTTCTGCAGCTACAATGTAATATTTCAGAAAAAAAAAAGCAGAAAATTTAACAGCAAAAAAACTTTAACCTCTGTATTGACAAAATTCTCCAAAATAAATTCCTTCCAAGCAAATACAGCGATGATCTGTTGGAATGTTCAGATCGTAAACGCATACTCCATGATTTTGGCATTTCACTCGACATCGTGCCGGATTTTCAACATGACCATATTCAGCTACTACCAGGTGGTAGTTTAAAATTATCAGAAGTAGACAACAGAATAAAGCCATTGAAGTAAAGCTGAACTAAAAATGGAGCAAAAAAATTAAGGAAACCAGAGTTTAAAAATATTATTAACACTACAAAAGTAAACGTTCACTTTAGTTCAAAAAGCCGACAGACCAAATAACACATAAAAGTCATAAGAGTTGCGAATTTGTAATGCAGTTTTACTGCCGAATTTCTTGCCAGATGGTCAGTTTTTTTTTTCTATATAAAAAAAGAAAGGTGAGAGGAAAAAATAATTGAAAAGTTAAAAACTGTACCAAGCAAAAATTCATAATAATTCTCATAACATTCTCATTATACGTATACTTTAGTGGAGGCACTAAATGTCTATATTTACATAGATACGGCTCATATGCCAAAAAAAAATATATATATGCATATAGTAACAGCTTTTACACTTCTTTTTTTTTTTTGCCAAGTTTAAACAACTAATAACAAGGCAAAAAAAAACCCCTAACAAATATGTTCAAATAAGTGATTTAAAAATCGGAGAAAAAATTTTTTGTTTTTCAAAACTAATTCAAAAAATTTACATGAATAAATTCAGAAAGAAAAAAAAAAGTTCTGATCTTAAGTCCAATAATCCATCAGTCTATCGGTAGGTATCAAAAACAAAGAATAAAAAATTAATTTTTAAAGAAACAGCAATGATTAGAAAAGAGCAGTTGAAAAAAAAAAAAAA